GGTGTACGGACCCGATACATATGACAAACTTTATCATGGACGTAACGACAGTCGAACGGGACTGAGAAGTCCTATACTGAAAAGGGTTGAGAAACATTTGTTCACCCTCATACAAGACAAACTATTGAGGCGATGGTACATTTGGCACACATTACTGGACGGGGTATGAGGGTGACCGATTAATTAATAATTATATATTAGGTTCCCGTGTAGTAGCAACCTCTATGGACCCCTAAAGACACCGACAAGTAAATAAAAATGTAAGGTTTGATTATTGTTGGTTTCTTTGTATGTCTAATAGATTGTTATCTTGATTTTTTCATTCACGAGTTATATTTGGGAACCTAAAAGGTGAGCATGAAACTAACTCTTTTAAAACTAAATGAATATACTTAAAAATGAGAATAGCTTCATTAGTTGTTTTGTAATTTCTACCAACTTCTAATTTTTCCTATCGGTTGTAAAGTGTTGATATTCTTATTAGGCTAATATAACTAATTCTTCTTATTTAACAATTTTAGATCATGGTGATCGAGACTTGGATCTAGAACATTAAGAAAGTTAGTGATTAAAGGTTTCCTCTTGTTTCCTACCAGTTTTGCTGCGTAGGTCGATCCTATAACTTTCTAGTTACATTTTTTTTTTGTTACTTTAATTTCGTTCAAAAGACATTCACGTAGCTCTGTTAAACATTCTGATTGAATTGTGCGATAAATATAAATTTTAAATTCTTAATTGCTTATAGTAATATTTGATTAATTTAATATTATTTTTTAATTAAATTTTTGAACCATTACAAATAATATTAAAAATTAAATTTATTAATATATTGATAGCATTTATAAAAATTTTGAGGAAACTTATTATATTTTTTAAGTGAAATAAATATTTTGTAATAATTTAATTCATTTAATTAATTACTTACGAGTTAAAAATAAGAGTCAACCTTTTAAAAAAAAAATATATTTCAATAACGTTCCACGCTGCCAAGGTTTGCATGTCAAGTAAAATATTTGAATTGCCAAGGATGATTTTTAGTTGGAAAATATTCTGGGTCAATAGCAGCCTAAGACACTCAACCTGCACACAAAATAAGTAATCGAATAAATAAAGTTGGTCAATTTTGAAATTCAAAATTTCTTGGTTTTCTGCAACAATTCCCGGCTTCCAACTTCCAAGAAAGCCACTGTTTCTTTATAAGCATCTTTTTACTTAATTAATTAATTAAGAGAATATAATTATTAAGTGTAGTTATTAAAATTATTATATTATATTTAAAAATCACGCAGCTCACGTATATTATAAAATAATAGTGATATTTATAGTAAGATAAAAAAATTTACTTAAATCTATTATATTTACGTATAAAATGAAAAGTTTGAAATAATTATAATTATTTAAAATTTTAATTTAATTTTTTTAAAATTTAATTTATTACTGTATTAACGAAATTGTAGTAATCAAATTAAATTAATCATCAACTGAGTCTATTATATTTATAAGTGAACAAAAATATTTATAAAGATTAATTTATTTAAATTGGGTAAGTATAGCGGATTAAGAATTCAATTTAATTTATTTAAAATAAAAAATTAAATGAAAGCATGGGTCTTTAAATTATACAAATTGTCTGTGAAAAAAATAATAAAATATTTTTTTTATGTTCTCTTTAAGATATTATATTGTGATTAATACGTACTATTATATAATTTGTTCATAATTATGAATATATTTATTTTAATTTTTTTAAATTCAATTTTTGTTTTTGATATGCGATTCCTTCTCTATTACTTTCCACAATGGATGCTAAAATTTTATGAGCTGAAATAAATCTACCAAACTACGGTGAAATTTTCATCTAGATCCTAATTAACTATTGGGAATTATAAAAATTAATGTTTTGGTTTTTGACTTAATTATATTTAAACATGTCAAATAAATTAAGAACACAAACGAGATTTTAAAATCTTAAAACGATGGCTATAGCATTTTCCATCAAAGTGGATTTTCCATGCATCCCACCAACACGTTAAAAATAAAAGAAAAAAAAATCATTTTACGTGTGGAATGCCTATATACACACACACATGTATGTATAACATTAACATGTGAACAAATCCAAGACTGGGAAAACAAGATTGACCAACTTTCTTCCCTTCTTTATCTTATATTTTTCTTCTCTCCATGAATTCCTGTTAATTGACCGAATTAATGAAACCCATTTTTAATCGCAAAAATTTATATATTTACTGATTATAATAAAATACCATATATATATATATATAAGTAATAATTGGTGAAATATGCGGAAAATTAAACACGTGTTGGGTCTGCTAAACTGGTGGCACGTGAGAAATATATATACACACGTGTGATGTAATGTAATTTGAGGAGGGTAGTTTTGTTGTGGTGTCTGTGGGCTGGTTAGGCAGCGGGCATAGAAAAGACGCGCGAAAGAATTTACGCACGCCATAAATTTTGCTAATTTAAGAATTATTTTTTCACATTTCCACTACATTTTTTCAAATTTACAAAATTACCCCCCACTTTACTTATATATTGGCAATAACGTCTCCCTCTCTTCTCTCTCTCTCTCAACGTGGCAATTGTTTTACTTTTTTAACTTTTTTTTAACAAGGAAAAAATAATTTTCTGAGTTTTATCTTTTATTTTTTGTCTTTTAATAATTAATTCTAATTTATATTTATAGCTTAAAAATTATTAAAACTATTTAAAAAAGAAGCAAATGAAAATAAAATAAAACTTAACTATAAGTTTTGATAAAGAAAGAAAAGCAACGATTTTGAAGAAATTTTAATTGGATTTTTCTCTTGATTATTCACACATACAAATATATACACACACTCACATGTGTATATACATCTTTTAGGGATTTTCCCACTCATATTATTTTTATTCAGAATTTACGAGATTAAATAATTTGATATAAATCGATAAAAGTAATAAAAATTGGTGTGTCCAAATTAAAATCACTAATACTACACATTAACTTTTGGGACACTACGCTTTAAAATAAACTTTTCAAAACCGTAAAGATTTATTTTTTAGAAAAAATTATAAAATTTGTGGATATGGGTAATAATCAATTTTAATTAATAATGGTCGCATTAAATAAGTCAAATTGGCACATCTTAATTGCAACACCCAGGTACTTGGTTGATTCTTTGATTTCTATTTATCTAGTAAAATAAATGGGGCGCATGCAGCTCCGTCGACTTCCATTAAACACGTTGTTGCTTTCCGTGGTCCATCCCTCACCTCACTTACTTAAACATGCCTTACACAAAAAGAAGGAAAGTAAATTACAGTTTTACCTAAGACATCGTCTGAAAATGTATTTTAAAATTAAATTGGAAGATATTTGGGTGCATGTGTACTCTTATAAAAAAAAAAAAACAAAATATTATATTATAGAGACAAGTTTTTTGATAAGACAGGGACAAGCATGTAATTTGAACAGAGGAAGTCCGGCTTTCCGTATAGCTTCCCGCCGACCGCGTCCGTGGACCCTCGTTTTCCCCTTGACTAACCGGCCATATTTTATTATTATTTTTCTCTCTTTTGGGATTTTGATTTTTCAAAATTTATTTATTTATTTTAAAAATTTAAAACTTATATTATTTTATTTCGAAATTTGAAATTTCGTTTATTTATAAAAAGGATAAATTTATTCCCGTGTAATGAACTATGGGAATACCCCTTAACATAATCAGAAAAAATC